ATATGATGCTACCTATGATGTCAGCCGATTGTATGCCGATCACCCATCTCGTAATCATGACGCATAAGTTCATAACATTGTGTCAGCACTTCAACAAGATCAGAGAAGATTTTGAAAATGACGCACTATTTGGAGATAAGAAACGAGCACTTGACAAACTCAAGGCTGGCGTATTAGAAGGCATACAGATGCATCAAAAGCTGATGCAGTAAGTCAATTAATACTCTTTCGATATCATTCTAAATGAAAACATGACGATCATCATAAGTATTTAATAGAATCAGGTGTTATTTCGCGGAAACCCATTTCTATAACTGTGGAATTATGATATCTAACAACTTTCACTCTCAATCAGTATTTGCATAACCTGCTGTGCACCGCCTGTACACAAATTTCTATTTACACTCGGCCGTGCGCGAGTAAATGAGAAATATGATTGAGAATGTGGTACAAGAAAACCAAATAATTGCCAACAAAAACGATATTATTTCGTTTGCTTCTGTCTTCATAAAGAGGCTCCTTACTTTTTTTAATCATCGGTAATACTAATGCGATTATGAAAATTATTTTCCCTGTGGGTAGCTACATAATTAGTAGTTGATATAGGCTACAATTCATTAAGTAAAATATATTGAAAGAAGAGACATTTTATTAAGTGAATATCTCTTGAAATTACATTTTTCTGATATTACTTTTCACGAGATAAATGTGAAAAAAATGCTTCAATCTGTTCATGACTTTCAACCAACGAAGACATATTTTTTTGTTATTGCTACAATTACAATATTTGAAAAGGCAGCATTTCAGTTTGAATAAAAAGCTAATTCGCATTCTAAAATATTTGATAGTGAGTATGCAAAAAATGAACGACAAAATTAATATATAAAAATGTTTTTCATTATTCAGTTTAGGGGACGAAATAAACCGTGTTTTTGGTATAATCATGTCACTTCAAGTTTGCGAGAGTTCAGCTGTGGCGGTTTTACTTCTACTTCGTTTAGCCGTAAGTATTTCAACTTTATTAGAGTACACTAATTATCCTGTTCAATTTAAGTCTTAATAATTACACAATAACTTTTGTAGTTAAGCAAATAGGTCGAATTTAAAATGAAATTTCGAGTAACTGGAAAGTCAAAACACTAACAACAAAATGAAATGAGCTTTTGTCTTTTATTATAATCCTCTTTCCCGGTTAGCATGTTAATTTAGTTTGAAAATTATGAAAACAAACTTCTGTACAATATTTCGGGTCGCGGTGGACGTAATAAGAACTTTTCTCGGTCCTTTTTTTTTAACAAAATATGGAAACAAATAGCTCACAAAAGAATTATTACCTAATAAAAAAATTGATAAATGAATAATAGAAAATTTAAAGGTAATGAGATGTATTTAATTAAAATAGGCTTGTGGCGCTAAAATATAATTTAACATTATATTAACGAGAAATACTTAAAAATTCATTAGTCCCAGATACTCGAGGTGAGCCCACAATCTTTCGCAATACGGGCGGCTACTCTAACCATTGAACTGTCTGAGATCTATCAGGACCTCAATTTCGAGAGCACTTGTTACTTTCGCTACTAGTGAGCGTATTCTCATCAGTTCAGGTAACATTTTAAGCTTTCGATTACAATTAAAATGTGGTATTATAAACAATTTCACAATTACGAATAGTTGTGGGTTCGAATTCCGTTTCGGGCCCTGGGACTGGGCATTTTTCTTTGAGATAAATATCAATATTATTTAGCTAAATTGATCAAATATCTTAGTATAATTTAGCACTTAATTTTTTCGTCGAATTCAACTAGTTAACATTAAGAAAATATATAATTAGTTAAGTGAACAAGTGTTCAAGTGTGTTGTTAATAATCTGACAAAGTTGTCATTAATGATTTTCTTAATCGACTCCTCTGTTAGCAACTGGCTGGTCATTCCACCTTTTTATAAAACTTTATCTTATATTTTAAATATTATTTTTATATTCAAAATACAGCATAGTTTTACGTTACGTTATATCATTAGAAGTTTGGGTTGATGTAAAAATCTAATGTGTGTTTGTATACGTCGTGCTCTGCGTTTCTTCTATTATTTAAATACTAATTTATTATTCTTATGTAATTGTATTTCTAAGTAAATTATATTATATAAATGTAATCCATTTTTCATTAGCTCACATTCTTAACATATATCATCTCTAATTCTTTTCTTCGACTGTGCTGTCTTCTAATCTTTCACTTCACTTTTTACAGCTCCTCTAAAATAATCTCTTCACACTCTCGATAGTCAGAGTAAGGCATACCCACACTGAATGTTGGTTTTATCAGTATAATAATCAGTTTTACAGTTCAATCTATCGATAAAATACTGATAGTTGATTAAATGATGAAATTAAATTCTAAATCTTTAGAAATTTTGACTTATACACTTATAAAGATCATTACATTATTATCTCCCTTCTTGTTTGCAATCTTTATTAATTTCATATGTATAATATTTCTTGTTACTATCACCTATATAAAAATGATCTTCAGACTGCAAAGCACATTTGGTTGAACTAGATGAAGTGGTAGTAAAAACTAACCACAACATTCAACGCATTGCGGAATGGACTAAAGAATTTGATCTGTGTGTCAATCCCGCTAAACTCAAGTCATGATTACAGGTAGCTCCAGAATTATTTCCAAAATTGATTTACAGGCACTACCAAAAATGGTTTTTGATGGCCTTGACATTCCTTTTAGTCAAATAGTAAGGAACCTTGGGATAGTTATGAAAAGTCATCGGAATTGGGGTCACAATTGCAAACTGTCAGTCACAAGTTATTTGCATCAGACGCTTCATTGCAAAGACTACGAAATAATTATATCTGATCAATTTTGCATTCGTAATGCTATACGGAAAAATAATCTCAATGAGAAATGCTTAAAAAGTCCGCTTTGTACCGTCTCAGAGTGACAGAGCTAAAATATTTTTTAAAAGATTTTTTCATTAAGAAGACTATCAAAACTTCATACCCACTACCACTACAGCTGCGCTAACGCTACCCATTGCCACTAAAGCTAGGGCTGCTTTCTATCCACGATTATGCCGACGCCTGCTATCTTGATCTTTCGGAGGACCATCTTAATAAATTTGAATAATTTCCAAACTTTTGTATCCGTTTCATGTTTGATTTGCGCAAATATGACTAAGTATCTCATTTTCGTTCCGAGCTTCCTATACGTTTCGTCGGAATTCTCATATACTATCCCTTTTCTATAACATGTCGTTCAATCATAGTTACCCTTGCTATCTTAAATATCGTTTCAGTTTTCTACACTATTCTAATTCTTATACATTGCGATCATCAGAGAATCTGAGTATTGCGATTCCATCTCATTGAAGTGCGATAATTTGTCTTTTATCGTACAACCTGTTCGTCTATGGAATTCTCTTCCACATTCAATCGAGCGAACACAATCCTTGCAGATGTTTAAAAATAGTGTTAAAGAATTCTATCTTACATTATAAAATAATTTATTGGCCGAGCGTCCTACCTTATCCCCACTCATTAGCAGGCCCTGTTTATTCTATCTTTCTACTGCCATTCCAATTCTCACTATTTTTCGCCCATTCATTCCTTATTCCTTTTCTTTCTTTTATCCATCTCTTTCGTTCCTTTCGGCTGGGATTGCCGTTCCTAGTCTTCCTACTCTATGTATTATGTATTTTTCTTTATTTCCTATTTCTAGGGGGTTGTACACGTACACTCCTTTTTTTATTTATTTTCAATTTTTTATTTCTCTTAAATTGATCTTTCTTATTTCTATATAGCTATACTCTAATTACATTTCTTACTTACATCTACTTATATTGCTAATACATGTTTTTTGGTGTTTTTACATTTTTCTTTTAATTCTATTCTATTACATTTTGCTGATATTCTATTGCATTACATTATATGTTGTTATCTAGTTTTACTTATCCTTTTATGTTGCTTATTCCGTCCTATTTGTTTTATTCCTGCATATTACTATTTCCCTAATTTCTACTTTGATATTCTTTAAATCATATCTTTGTTCTATGTCTATAATATTTGTTATACTTTTAAATCCTATTTTATATTTTGTTTTCAGTTTCTTATTTGTTTTCTTATTTCCTATACATATATTTACTTGCTTATTGCCTAGTCCTTGTTTTCCTACTATTATTTTATTCATTTATTTTGGTCACTTTGTAATATTTATCTAAATATATGTAATGTTCCTTTCTTTTTCTAGTTATTTTCGTTCCTATTTATCATTTCCGGTTTTTTATATTGTTTTGTGTGTTCTACATAGTTTTCATCATACCACTATGCTTCCTACTATGTATTGTTGTTTGTTTCATTTTTTGGCTCGGTTAGGATGTTCAACATACCTTTCCGTGTCAAAATTTTATATTCCTGTTTTTTATTCTGTTTGTATGTGTTTTGATTTGTGTTTGTTGTTTGTGTTTTGTGTATGTGTCTTGTCTTTGTGTGTTTTTGTTTAATGTTGTGTTATTGTCTTTTCCTGTTTTTGTCGTCTTCATTTGTACGCTGTTGTAGATCTGGCCAAAACCCATTTTTCGCGTATCTTACACGTATTACTGAAGGCGTTATGTTGTGTGTCCAATAATTTCGCGTGTGCACAATTGCAGCACTGCGGTGGAATTCCTGCTTTTCTATCAGGGCATTCTGCCCACAGGTGTAGTCCTCCGCAGTGGCTGCACTTGTCCACACTCTCTGAACAAAATTTCTTTCCGTGGCCGAAATTTAGGGGCGTCTGATCTTCGACCTTCACCCTTTTCATCTCAATATACATGTGATGCCCCACTGCCACCATTTTCACAACTGATATTATTTCTTTATTTGACATTTTTTTTACTTAATATCTCTGATTAAGACTAAGGGTCTTTATTTTTGACATGCTCCGCTGTCAAGGCTTTCGATCCTTTTAGCCTTTCCTCTATTTGTTGAATTTTGTCCTTACTTCTGCAGCTCAATACTGGTCTTTTACCTTTCTAATGCGATCAATTTGCGTTTTTGTTTCCTCCGGTTTGAGTATCTCTTTCGCCTTATTGATCACATCGTCTAAGGTATCCATGGATTCCTTAGATGTTATTAGTATTGAGTGCAATGTTTGTGGCCTTGGATGTTGGGGGTCTTTTGCTTTTCCAGCATATGTTTCGATGGTTGAAAGTGGGGTTGGTTTTTGGATTTCTTTGGTCGGTATGGTGTTTATTTCTTCTAGAATTCGTGCTGTTTCTTCCGACATTTTCTTTTTTAGTTCTTTATTACCTTCTCTTATTGTGGTGTCTAGTGTTTCTGTTACCTCCCTTGCAGTATCCTTCTTCATTTCTCTCATTTGACTTTCTATGCTTCCTAGTGTTTTCTGTTTCTTTCCTTTGTACCCCTTTTTCTATTTTTTCTATTATGTCTCTTTGCCCCTTTTCTAATGTTTTCCAATTTTCCTTCATATCTAGTATTAAATTCTGCTCATAGCAACTCAGTGTATTCGTCACTCTTTTAAATAATTCTTCCGTTTCCATTTTTTACTTGTATTTACATTTCCTTTTCCTACTCTTTCCCCAACTTTCCTGTCCTGATCGATGATTTCGGCCGTGAGGTTGTCCTCTACGGTTTCGAGTTTTTTCACTATTACTGTGGTGACGGCCTCACAGTCCTTCGTCATGCTTTCTTTTATCGTTTCATATTTCTTTTCTCCTTCTTCTTTTTGGTCTATCATGTTTTGCTCCATCCTTTTTAGGATTTTTATTAGTAGGGATTGTGTTGATTTACCCCTTTTCTGTACGTGGCTGTTTCTTTCCTCTCTTGATTATGTAGCAGCATTAGCACAGTGTTTGCCCTATCGAATACATGAATCGATTGTAATTACTAAAGCCATCTATCGAGTTCACTCGGAACTTATGATCGAATACCTCAAGTGAATACTTGGGTAAGGTCGATACAGCGCCGTTGGTTGATCTGTGGTTTTTTAACATTTGGTAAGATTGGAGGACGGAAACGGAAAGGGGGAAATTGACGTACTATATATTCGAAGGTTGGGATAAGGAACGGACGAGCATTATTTGGACGCGCTGTATCGAACTTACCGCGTTACCGAATAAATCCATTTCAATCAGTGTGTTCCTTAAATACTTTGCTACGATTGTTTGTTAAATGAAGAAATATACACGTGTGATTGCTCGAAAGACTATTATTAAGTATTTCCAAAGATGTCTGACTCTTTTGATAACGAGTTTGGTGATCACCCTCCGTTATATATAATATATTGTTAAGTATGTATGTTAATATATTTATGTATTTACTAGCTGATCCGGCGAACTTTGTACCGCCATTACCCGTTTTATATTAATCATATCTTTTTATTAATTTTCTTATATACAAACTTTGTCCTGACAGTAAGGAACACACAAAAAATAATCATTCAATTAGGTGCAGTCGTTTGAAAGTTATGCGCGGATATATTTTTATATATATTTATTGTATACATGAGCATGTATTTATATTTTATTTAGATACTTTAAATAATCATTACTATGCCTCAATTGATATTGGTAACATCTACACCTTTCTCTTCATTAATAATGTTATCTCTCTCCATCAACTGGTTGCCTGGAAGAAATCGCTTTAAGCGATAAGATTGCCAATTGTTACATAAGAGTGTTAATTTACTTTAATTTTGTATCAATCAATTGTGTAACGTGAACAATAAAGAATTTTGTATTGTATTGTACATATATTGTTCAGATGCCAAATTAAAGGAAAATCTACATTAATTAACGGAAAGTGAAACTTGGACCAAAGTGATGGTGACTCCTTGAAGATTGATCTTATCAAACTATTATAATAAAGTAATATTTTCAAAAATAACAATTGACTGTATAGAATAAACAACGGCAAACTATATAATTTTGTCTAATTCAAAAGTCTAATTGCTCTCTTGAAATGTAAAGACGCAGATGTAACTTTTACCTTAAGTTTAAGTTATTTTTTACATATGACGTAGTAAAATTAATGGCCCTTATAATAATAAAGTATGTCAGTTATTCTTAAACTTAAACAAGACCAGAATAGGTACTTAATAATCAAAGGTCTTTATAAAAAAACAATACTGTTGAAGTAATATGATTTCGCAGAATTCTTGGAAGACTTTGCTACACAATCATATTAGGAAAATGGTTTGCCTCAATTTACACAACCATATAAGGAATATGGTTGTATAGAAAATCCTTCCGAGAATTTTAATTATTCCTTTACAATAAATTTTATACGGATATAAAATAAATGAAAATATTTTATGTTTTATATTAAATATAGAAATCCCAAAATGTCAAAATGTAATAAAAGACAAGGTTCTATGGCAAAGGTTATTTATTCAAATAATCGTTAGAGTATATAAGTATTTAATAAAATAACTTACATACGCGATGTAGAATTATATGTAATGTATCACATATATAGGCAGATAAACGTCATCGCCATCTAGCGATCTTAAATATATACAAACTGACAACCACAGACATTATCAAAGGACATTACTTAACTTTAAACCTATTCAACGCAAAATAACATTCCTATTACCAATATCAAATACGAGTGAACGGATGAATGATTTATGTAATTTGATAAGTTCGTCTAATAGGTTTTGTCCATTTTCAAATCAAATTTAATGCGTTTATAATATTGCGTTAGTACTGTTGGTTATTTCTGATAATGATTTAAATAAACTAGTTTTAATTGGATTTAACGAGTATAATTTGTTGACTTAATAAATACATATATAATTAATTTTGCATTCTCAGTGTTAATAATAATAATTTTTATTGCACTACTAAACAGAACACATTATAAAGGAAACGTCTAAAAGAGTACACAAAAGGCGGCCATATTACTTAGCAGCCATTTTTTCCAGGTAATCAATGGTAGTCGATAAAAATAAATAAATAAGGTGTAAAAATGATTATCAATGTTATATTGATATGTCTTAAAAAAGTCTTCAATAGTCACAGAGGCACGAGACGAGAGGGACTTGAACCCTTTACTTTTAGCAATCGGGGCGACTCTAACCATTGAGTGACCTTTGCCTATGCCACATTCTTTACTCTGCTCTATTCTTGGTAAAAAGTCATTCAAACATTTTGCTTCTCGTATTAGTAAATAAATATAAGACGACATCATAATAAATATAATATCAATTAATATTAGATGTGTATCTAAAACCCCGGTGTTATGGAGTATCTGAGAAAACGAAGGATACAACACCTAGACCCTAGTTAATATAGAAAAGTCCATTTTCTACATCGACCCGACCGGGAATCGAACCCGAGACCTCAGAGAGAGAGCGACACATTGAAACCGGCGTACGAACCACTATTACTATTATTCAACTGTAACTATACATCATATGATGATGATGATTCATCACCAGCCTATTAATGTTCCAACTGAAAGAAAAAAAAATGTTTTTATTGGATTTCACAATTCATACATCAATACAACACATACAACATTATAGAAAAAAGAAAAAAAACAACACAGAGATATATTGGGAAGCCAACCAGATGGCTCCCTCAGTGATATCTTTTGTGACATCACAAAAGCACTGACATTTTGAAAGCCCCTGTCGTGGAGTGCCGTACTAAGTTTTACTATAAACTTATTAACAACTGCTCGGCTCAAGGCTTCATCATCATCATCATCATCAGCCCTTTTATGTCCCCACTGCAGGGGCTCAGGCCTTCCTTGGTTGCTAACCCTCCATGCTAGCCCAATGCGGATTGGAGGGTATCTCAAGGCTTCCCTATGGATGAAATATTCGAATAGGGAGAATTGTCCATGACCCACCACGCAGGGTCATTGCGAATTGGTGGTTGTTAAAGACTGCAGATGCGGCCGAAGCACGGAGAAGCTCGAGATAACAAACTTCTGATCCTATGTCCGGCCATTGAGAAAGTTGCTTTAAAAGCGTATGGCAGAACGAGCGCGCTAATGATTATTAAAAACATATTCTTTCAATTGCAGTTAGCGCCACACATGGATTTAACTAACGCCTTCATGACGTACACGTTCGTCAGCTCTTTATTTTTATTGCTTGCCCTTAATCTTTGGAACGCTGGAGAGATTACGTATCAGGTGAAATATTTTAATTAAAATACTTGAACAAGCGTCCCACTCTACTACGTAGTAATTGGAGTTGCCTTAGTAACAGTAAGATGCTTCAAGTTTCTGGAAGACAAAAACCATCACCACGCGCCGTTGTGATTACGTTATGTATAAGTAGAAGAGCAATTTTTAATCTAATGGAACTCTTTTAATAATCGCTTTTATTATAAATCTATAGTATTAATGCACTTTTTCTTCACTAGGTTGCAGCACAAGTAGTAAACAGGTTTTAATTACTAACGTTATTCAAAGCATTATGAGACTTATAAATATATTATAATTTTAGAATTTATTTAGAGAAAGATTATATTTTATTAACGTACGGTTCTGTTATTATCTATGAAAAGCGCAAAAAATCAGGTTTGTTGAATGGGATATCACCCTTAAAAAAGTTATTTTATTTCGTGAAAATTTCAGCTTTTTAACTATCACGGTTCAGGAGATACAGCCTGGTGATAGACGGACAGTGGAGTATTAGTTATAGGGTTCCGTTTGTACCCTTTGAGTACGGAACTGAAAAGAACAGAAAAGTTAAGAATGATTACTTCTCATATTTAAGACAATGTTATAAAATAAAGAAAACGTGATGTGAATTTGAGAGCGCCATTTTCGAAATGCAACTTTTGCATCAGTCAAACTAGTAGTACAAAAGTTACAAAAAGACTTTAGTTGTGCAGTACTAAAAAATAGCTCACTTAAATGTTGGATTCTCCGTTACTTCATATCGCCGTCTCGCTTACTCTTTGCTGATCTCTTCATCTGCTCTACATACTTTCGTCGACGTGCACTCGAACTGTGCTGCAATTTTAAATCTAAATAGATTGTCTAAAACATACTTAGAATACATACAAACCTCTTTTTTAGCCGACTACGAAAATTGATTAAATAAAAAAATATTTAGTTCATAAACTAAAACTCGACTGCTAAATTACGCTCTAAAAAGTCGAAGAAAGCAATTTACGATACTTAGCGATAGCTAGCTATATTATAATAGCGATAACCAAAGAACAGCACAGTCATGTGCCACTGATCATAACAAAACAAACTGTTGTGGCTACAAATATCAAATAAAATTCTTGTTTCAAACTTTAAATATAAATTAATTTTTGAACTTATATTTTTATACCAAAAAGATTTGTGTTAGACTATTCAAAACGACAATTCGTCATCTGTAATACTAATATTGAAAATTCCTTCACCTACGGGAAGCTACATCATACGGGGATAACATAAAGTATAATTTATGTACTTAATTTCAGGCTTCATTATTGTCCGACGCAATATTCTACTGTGGTTGGCACCTCAGCGATATGGAAAGAGAATCTCACCGTGACATCAGGAGATTGGTGCTCATCTCCTGCACTCAGGCTCAAAAACCTCTTATACTAAAAGCTTTTGGCATTCAAGACCTGTCCTATTCTACATTTGTGTCTGTATGTATGAATCTATAAGTATATATGAAATTCTTGCATTACTGAGTGACGGACTGAGTGACAGACAGCGTACAGCCGAAACTACTGAGCGTAGAAAGTTGAAATTTGGAATGAAGATTCCTTAGGGAGTGTAGAAGAGCACTAAGAAAGAATTTTTGAAAA